AGGGAGACTCGAGAGATGAGGGGCCTCAGTCTACACAACTGAGAAGCGGGAGTCTCTCTCTCAGGACGCCTTTCAGTGACTGGACCCTCCTCCCAGCTGTTCATAATCTGGTGAGGGCCTAACATGGATCACATACTGGATTTCTTAAGCTGTCTCTAAAATAAGCAGGAAATCTTGAACATTTTCAATGTAACTTTTAGAATCGAGGTTTTTCTTTTCCATGTATTTGCTTGAGTTCTTAGCTATGCGACTGGCTGGCAAGAAGGCAAACAGTGGGAGTGCTGGGAGAACGCGCATCCCCCTCAGAGCTGGCATTTTTTAAGAAATCGTCTTTGACCTCTTCAGTGAGCAGCTCAGACGGCATCTGCAGCAGATACAGCACAGACACAGATCATGGCTGGGTCAGGGATTCTGGTAAAGGGAGCAACCTAACCTTTATTACGTGCATCCAAAGCACCACGCACTGTAACACTTCTAGAGAGCAGAGTCAGAATCTTATCAACCCCCAAGCCTCAGACATAATATCCATTTCAATAAATAAGAACTGAACAAAGATCACACAAAGAAACGTACCTTGAGTAAAGGACAATGAGCCCAGCCTACTAAATGACTCACTGTCAATTTACAGTCAGATCATTACAGAATGTGAATAAAGTATTCAGATTCATTTTGCTGTGCTGGTGAGCCACGTCCGTGAGGAAATACGCATCATCAGCATGTTCATTCAGAATGAGTGCCTGAAAGGAAGTACTGTTGTGCACTGGGAACGAAATCAACTGCAGCAGAAGAGGGCCTGGTAAAAGATTAGGCTGGCTTCCTGCAAGAGACACCCTGCGGCAATTTTTTATATATAAACACACTCACTCATACACACCCCGACGTACTTCTCGTGTCCTTCTGCCAAAACACCTCGGAACTATCTACTTCATTTTGATTCTAATGGTATTTCCAGGAGGTACGTCGAGGCAGGCAACAACTGCGCTAAGAAACTGACTCAGCGTCATTTGTGTTGAGGCTGATCTTAAAGACTGTGTGACTGAACAGTCTATAATGTAAGTGGACCTACTAATAGAAACAGTTCTCAACATTCTTGAAGCAGTAATAGTATGCATACAGGGGGCGTTTTACAAAGCATTTTCATATACATTCACTGGCTCTGTGCCTTAGTCCTCTCATCTCAAAAACAGAAATGATTGTAATAATAATGATGGATTAGTCAAGATGACCCAGTCTCTAAGTGCAGTCAGGTCTTACTACTGCAAAGCCCATGACACAACTTTCATCAGAAGTCATTACTTCAATGTGAAAATAACTAGCACTTCACTGAGATCCTGGCACTTTCTAAACACTCAATAAATATTTGTAAGTGAACGGATGATTGAATGAATGAATGCAGCGTTGTAAAAAGGAGTCCTAGAGATTGCTCCCTGCATTTTGGGGTTCATGAAATAGTATGAATTTCACTGTAATAGACTTTATTATCAATTCTTTCCCTTTAAGAAACAATTTTGACATAGTTACGGCATTACTGGGACCAAGAGTAACTGCCTACATGTTCTCATTCAGGCGTTATCACTCTCCAGGGCACTGAGGACTAGGTTACTGCAGTACTAAGAATAATAGTGCCATCTAGTGGCACTTCTAGTTACTGTCTCTAAAAGTGTGCACGACATCCCCTGTTCTAAAAAAGAGATTAAGTACAGAGTGGTATGTGCAATTTATGATCTTCGGCATTTTTCTGTCTAAGAATCCTTTCCTCAAAATTTTAGTACATGATACATTTTCTCATCCTCATTCATACTTCCCAGATGACATATTTACAGAGCCTATTCACACCAAAATTTTCAGTAGTTAAATGTTTATAATTCAAAAACCATGTTTTTAGTATTTTAAGACCTTTCTATTTTGAGATGCAACATTGATACAATTACTTTTAAGGATAAATAATGTTAGATTTATACATCAATTGACATTCTGTTTCCAAAACCGTTAAAATGTGAAAACCAAATTTACAATCAAGAAAATTCATTATTCAAGTATTTATTCATATAGATACTGAATTTAAATTTTTATTTTTATGCATTTTATCAGGAAAGATGATTCATTAAATGTATAATTAAACATAATACCAATTTTATAAATATTAATAGCTTTCATGTATATGATCAATAATATATATAAATTTATAAATCAAAAAGTTTTGGTTAGTTTACAGGCATTATTTAATTAGGAAATTACAGGTTTAATGAGATGCATCCTATCTAACTCAGAAAGCTTAAAAGCTAGTCATGGCTCAGATACTGTCTAGTTCTATAAAGTTAGGCAAGTGAGGCAACTTCCGTAACTCAGTTTTCTCACCTGTAGAATGGGATGACGATGCCTACCTTAGCCACCTCCTAGAGTTCTGAGGATCAAATGCAATAATAAATGCTTTTAAACTCCTCTGTGATGGTAGGAAATGAGTGGTGTTACTTCCAATAATTATTTTCCTGGGAGGGCAGGTGCTGGAGCTCGACTGACTGGACTCAAATTATGGCCGCATTACTTCCTACTTGGGTAACCTTGGGGAATCACTTCCCTGAGTCTCAGTGCTTCATCTGTAGAACAGGGATGATAATAATAATAATAATATATTTTTTAAAAGACCAGTAGTGTACTAAGTAACATGCTTAGTACAGAGTAACCATTCAGTATAGTTTTAACTACAAACACACATTTCAACTGCGACAGCAAGGGATCGATTGTCAATTTAAGAGATCCCTGTGCTGTTCTCCCAAAAAAGAAAGATACTAAACAGAGAATTTTCATCATCATCACTGTTATCTATTGGACCAGAGAGGAACAAGGCCCCAGCCAAGGTGCCTTGCAGCACGTACTGGACTCTACTACTCTCCACATAGACAAAACAGAATGGGATATGTCAGGTCAACCTAAAGCATTCAAAAAACAGTTTTTCTTGTTTTTAACCTTGAAAACTTTCTTCAGTCTCCCAATCTTTTCATACCTGCTTTTAAGCAGAGCAAATGAATAAATGCAGTTAAAATGCTACCAGAGAGCTGGTAACGAGGCAGGGCTGGAGCAACGTAGTAAACAGGTCAGAGAGCCACCTGCTCGACCATTTCCGCCAGAGTCCAAGCCCCCCTTTTGTCTTGCCTGCATCACAGGGACAGACTCCCAACGGAAGCCCTCCTGCTTCTGCTCCTGCTTTCCATTCTATACACCGCAGCGAGGTGGTTTTTTAAAAGTAATTCACGTTTCTTCCATGACCAAAGCCCTGTGATTCTGCATTGAGACCACGCAGCAAACACCATCCTTATGTCTCTCCCTTGAGTTCTCCCAATGCTCCCGCCACAGCATGCCTTGGAAGGAGCCCTCGTCCCCTCCGAGTGGAAAGCCCTGCCCTGAACTCCACATGGGGACCTCCTTCTGGCCATTCACATCTCAGCTTACACATCCCATCTCAGAGGCCTTCTGCCACACTTGCTCAGTTCTGCGTCCCACAGTACTTACATGCCTTACTGGGCCTGCCTCTCACTAGAGAACATGAGTCCTGGGAGGCCAGCATCCTTGTCTGTGCCCC